ATAATATGATTTGTTGAGAAATGTGTTATGATGGTGGGCCTAAAACTATGGCCGGGAAGAAGATACAAGATCTCGATAAGAAAGGATAATGTAGGAGGCATTTTCATCGCGCACATGGAATGATCACCCAAGAGAAAGAAGCTACGGAAAAGAAAACAAATAGCTACTAGCTAAGGTCACTGAGGCACTTCGTTGGTTGTGATGTGATTTGCTCCGGTCATGGAAGACACTGTGATTGGTGATTTGATATATGTTTACTCAACACTCTCATACCTGCTCCGTACACGCGGCCACTAAGCATACATGCTCCTAAAGTGATGTTGGCTCCTGATTTTGAACGCAATGTGCTTTTGTGTTTGCCACGTTTGCATTGCCATTTCTCTTTTAAAAAAGGGTTAAAAATAAAAAAGCCCCTGGTATACTTAAAACACAAAAAAGTCCCCCATGATTTTAAAACATACAAAACGACGTCTCATATTTTGAATTAAATTGTAAACTAACAGAATTCGTTAAACTTAACTAAAATGAGGGTTTCGACCGTTAAACTTACCGGATTCCGTTAAATTTACCGTTAAATTTATCGGATTCCGTTAAATTTTTCGTTAAATTTACCGGATTTCGTTAAATTTAACGAATTCTGTTAGTTTACAATGTTGTTCAAAACATGAGGTATCGTTTTGTATGTTTTGAAACTACGAGGGACTTTTCTGTACATTAGATATACCACAGAGGGTTTTTTTGCCTTTAACCCTTTAAAAAAATTCTAATATTTTCGGTGAACACATTTTAATTATTTTTTTAATTTATCTACATCAAATCGATAAAATACATTATTTAATAAAAATTCTAAAAAATAGCAAATCAAACGTGTTTCAAGCAGGGTAACAATTTCATTTTTTTTTGTTTAAAAAAAAACTCAATGTAACTACTAAACACTTATTCTTATTCTTAAATACACACACACACACATATATATACTTTGACAATATGCATTAGTAGATATTGATACATGTCACTTAATTATAAATTAAATATGAACTTTAATTTTTTCATGTGTGATATGAATCTATACTCGTTAATGTATACAGTGTTAGTGTATACAGTATTAATCAAAAGTTAAAAGGTCGATGTAAATGTCACTATAACATGTTTTGTTTAAACTAGTGTTCAATGCACATCCAATGTGTGTACAATCAAAAAATAAATGATTTTTGTGATCATATATTTTAATAAAATTTTTATTACCAAAGCAAACATTAATCCTTTAAATATTTTACATAAAATAATTTTATATTGGTAGTTATATTATATAGGGATAGTTATATTGAAACGTATACTCAGATAGTTAAAAGTAAAAATAGTCATGAACAATTATAGGTAATTAAAGTAAAAGTAATTGTTATAAGGAAAGAAAATAAAGTTCATCAGTAACCACAAGTATTAACTACAAACCCCTTTCTCGGACTTTATAGATGGTAAAATATGCAGACAAACTTTGACTGGGCTGGGCTAAGAATGTGATGTTGACAAAGTTCCAGTAAATCCAAACTTCTCCGAGCCCATAACCGGTACTCGAAATCATTAAGAGAGTGGAAACTGGCCCATTTGCCAGTTGATCGTACATTTCCATTATCTTCTGAGTTCTGATGGCTGACGCAAGTTTGCGGGGTTTTTTTTTTTTTTTTTTTCATAACGGCACGTCTAATCTAACCTGACCTATTCCTACTCCTATCGAGAGGGAGGAACCTACTCTATGGGGTGGGTCAACTAAACCGGGGGAGCCTGACGGCACATCTATGTTGGGTGCGAGGTTATGTTGTTTACGGTTTCACCTTTTCAGATTTGTACGTGCAATAGAAATTATTTTAGAATCGGACGATAAAATACTAGATAAACAATCATGGAAGTTCATCAGAATTTCTATCATATTTACGTCATATTTTAACAAAAAAAAAAAGTGAGAAAGGATTTACTATCACTTCAAACACACACAAATATCTGCTGGGCTAATTCAGCCATACACATATTAATTAAACAATACAATTATTTGTATCTTTGGTATATAGCACAATTAATTTATTGTGTGTGACATGCATTAAAATATAATGGCTCACGCAGTCATTGGAGAAATTCATAGCCGTCAAGCAATCCTGATAAATCATTCATCACCCAACATTTCAATTTTGTAGCTTAATGGATTGAAATATTTCACACAACGCCATCTGCAATAGCACTAACAAAGTCTATTGCACGGTTCATCTTGCGTATGGTATGATGCATCATGATATGCCATTCTTCTTAACCAAACATTTCAATATATACAAGCACGTACAATTTTTTTTAAAAAAAAAAAAAAAAGAAACACAGATTTCAAGCAAGAAAACCCGATGACAGGGAGATTCATTTCATGACATAGAATAGAAAAGAAAATGGGTAGAAGGAGAAGGACAGCATTTTCACTAGGGAGGGAGGGTCCAGTCAGTCATGTCTATTGGCTCGCGGGCTCAGAGTCTTCAATTGATTTTTCTGCTTGATTACTCGACATTAGTCCGAGATTCTCAGCAATTTTTTTAAAAAAAAAATCGTGACTCTGAGGAATTCATTTGGAAAGAAGATCTCAAGGGGAAGGGGCACAACATTTCTTCTGGAGGGCAGACAAATTAGAAAGTTGTTCGGATGAGCAGCAGTTTGATGAGGCCGGAGAAACTGTTTCTGATTAAGAAAACAAGAAAATTAAAGATTGGAATCATGTGACCGACAATTAATGCATGGCTTAGATTTTCCCAACTGCTCATTACAATACCAATCTATCTCCCTGCCAGTTTATATCGTGTAGTCAGGTTCGCATTAATAGCATTCAATATTTGATTTTAGATTTTTCGTTTCCTTCCCCCCCCCCCCCCCCAAAAAAAACCCAGAAAAAAAAAAAAAAATTTCTGATGCTTTGAGCCTCAATGGTTTTGGCTGCCAAATTATAAGACAAAACGAAAAAGAAAAGAATGGCTTCATTAAAAATCGAATTTATCAACCAAGAAAAATGTATGATACCAATAACGACCACATACTTGGATTTGACGATTGCATAAATTGGGAGTTGAAATGGAGAATTTGTCAGATTCATGAAGCTGTTGACCGAAGCATGAGAAAATAAATGCTGCATAATAAGGCCATTAGAGGCCTTTCCTTTGCGATTCCATCGAATATTGCTATCACCATAATTATACGATGAAAATTCATGGAAGCTCACGGGCAGCTGCCTGCCGCCTGGGTGGAACTAAAAATCGTACTTAGGATTAACAATTGTACACAACTAAGACGTGCATATATATATATATATATATAAGGATTAATCTTTTCTGTACTGACATTATGTACACTGTCAACAGTATTGAATAAATAAGTAACAATCATACAATATTTATATTTAAAATTCAACTTTTATACACATATCATGAATTCGATACTGACAACGTATACATTAATATCGGTGTGTATAAGGTATGTTCCATGCAGAATCACAACTATATATGCGTGACATGGTGGGGGATAATTCAGATAAGGACGTAGGATGTTACATTCATGTACCATACAAATTTTCTTGTTTTTGTTACATGCAGACATTAGTATCTTCAAATACAATGCGGTGCCTCCTAGGCACATCATATGTACAACTAAGCCCACGAGATTAATTATGCGGTAGGACCATAGTTAATCCGTCTCACGAAGTTGCTAATGTGTTGACCGTTGGTTTGATCAAGGCTAAGGCTGCTCCAATTTTGGGGCCCGACGAGGTTATATATTCGTTTGAGAATGGAGACTTGGGAGAGCTAATCAGCTAAATGTATTGTATTCACGTGAATGTCTGTCTTAACCAACGTTCACGTTCGTGTATTCGCGCTTGAGTTTGAGTTTGATTTGAATTAAGTTAAGTTTTAGAATATTTTTTTTTCCTTGCTTTTCTTTTTCTTAATTATTATTTACTGTTGATACTATACTTGCTAATGCACCTATATTTAAATCCCTTTATACTCTTTAATTAATCACTACTCGGAAAGAAGCACTAAATGGGGTCTTGTAGTGTTCCTTCAACATTGAATTGAATTATGGAAGAGGAGTCAAAGGCTCAAACAAGAACGTGGAGACCAAACAACTCTTCTAGTCCTTTGTATATAGTAAGTAGTAAATAAAATGCCGACCAATCACAAGTGCTGGCGGCAGTCAACCCAAGATTTTGTTTCTAGCCTACGTGTCTCACCTCAGGGCCATCGATCAGAGAAGTTGCCTGTCAGATTGAATTCGTAGACTCGCTCTACATGGATTAATTCTTTTTTTTCAACAATCGAAATTACTAGAAACCACGCAATAAAGTTAGATTAACACTCACAGCTAATCGAAATTATGGTGCAAAATACAATTTAAAGTGGAGCTCACAAATTAACACAATCCAGACAATTGGTAACTGAAAGTGAGATTGAGGACCTTAAACCCAAAATAACTATCCCACAATCTTTCGACGTAGGATGGATGACCCACCCCCGAGCACTGTCTCACCAAATTTATTGGATTTTTTCAACAATAGAAATTACTAGAAACCACATAACAAAGTTAGATTAACACTCAGAGGTAATCGAAATCCTGGTGCAAAGCACAATTCAAGATGGAGCCCACAAATCAACATCATCCAACCAATTGGTAACTGGAAGTGTGTCTACGTGGATTAATTCTAGTAAATCAAAATCTCTCCTCTATTAATTAAAATATAAATCGGCTGAGAAATTCCCCAAGAAAGAGAAACCAACCTTATTAATTACTGCTACGACTTTCATTCATAGGAACACTTTTATTTATAACTATAACCTTCTGCCGCATGATTTGAGGACTTTCTCAGAACTCAATAATAACTGAAGAGTTCTTTCTTATCTAAACATATTCTAATCTCAGAAAATTATTAATCTGACATGGGCATTTAAAAGCTTGATTAATTTAAATGCCTTGATCTAATGAGGACACAGGAGGTTCACACTTTTTCTCTAATCCCCAAGTCCTTGGCCTGCTTTAATTATAAATAATCAGACTCGAGAGTTGAGAGTTCCACTCTCCACAAAGCCCCTTCTTACCAACAACTACAATTTTGGTTTATCCTCCAAAGTCCTCCATCGCCTCCTCTTTCCCCTCCTCCTCCTCCTCCTTTTCTAGTTTTCTTTCACCAAGAAGTCGCTTAGCTCTCTCCCTCTCTGAGTTTTCCTCCGTCACTCACACTGAAAAGCGAAAATGGGCGGACATTCCCCATGCGCTTCATGCAAGTTGCTACGTCGACGGTGCACCAAGGATTGCCCTTTTGCTCCTTATTTCCCTGCCGATGATCCTCACAAATTTGCCATCGTTCACAAAGTCTTTGGTGCCAGCAACATCAGCAAAATGTTACAGGTTTCTCACTCCGTCCCTCTTTCTTCTTGCATACTTAACTGTCCTGATCATTATAGGGATCGGCCCTCAGGTTGCAAGAGTGATGGGTCTTTGATTTGATTGATCATGACTTGCAAAACGTGATTCTTGTCTAAGTTGGTCAACTTTTCATCTGGCTTTGCAGGAGCTTCCAGTTCATCAAAGAGCAGATGCAGTGAGCAGTCTAGTGTACGAGGCAAATGCAAGAGTCAGAGACCCCGTCTACGGCTGCGTGGGAGCAATATCGTACTTGCAAAATCAGGTTTCTGAACTACAAATGCAGCTTGCAGTGGCGCAAGCGGAGATATTCTGCATACAGATGCAACAAGATCCAATGGCCATGCCAACTCCTCAGTTCGATGATGATGATGAAGGATCTTTTCTGCTCCAACACAACCTCCCTCAGTACCTGAACTTCGCCTCCTCGTCTAGCAATGTCATTCAAGAATCTTTCAAGAAAGAGTCCCCCTTTGGCCGTGACATGGTTTCTTAAACAGTGGCCTGCTGTAGTAATAAATTTATCTTTCTCGCAGTTCTTACTTTATACTATCCATTAATTATTATTTGGTCGCATGCTATAGCATATTCTCTGCCTATGTGTGTGTATATTGTACTTGGCGGGAGAGAAAGAGGGCTACACAACAAAGATAGACTATTAAGTAGCAACCAAAGAAATCACCATTTAGCAGAGGTAGATGTGTCTGAAAACAAAGGAAAGTTGAGGAGTCAACCCCAGCATGTGTGGCAAGCACTAAAATATTTGAGCCACCTCTTCTCTCAATTTTTTTTTTTTTAAATTTTGCACATTATAAGTGTACGAATTACGATAGGAAATTAATTCATCATGATTTCTTATTTTACTTCTCTATAACGTGTCAACTTTCTCACCTGGCAACAAGAAAATTAAAGAATATTAACCGACTTAGATTTTCGGACAAAATGATTATTGCATATAACTAATTAGATTTTACACAAATTGTTCGGATATTGTAAATTCATCGCAATTTACATCTTTTGACACGATTCAAATGTTATATATATATATATGCTGGTCGAGTCAAAACTACTTTGTCAAAAGATTTTGTCTTTTCAATGGTTAAATTAATTACTTAAATTACAAAGTAAGTCCTGAGTGTGCTTGAGAGGCTAAGGTTATGATATGATTGCTTGAGATAGATTAGATGACTGCCCCCATCTCTCTTTCGTCCTCTTTTTTTCCTTAATATCTATGTTAGACATCTCAGGTGCAATTAAAGTCGATTCTCAGCTCCATTATGGACCCCTTACCAAAAACGAACAGAAAGAAGTATACAAAGGAAATGAAAATCAAATAAAGAAAAAAAATCCGAAAAAGGAGAGCTTCTCATATATATATTGGAGAAAATGCTCAGGGCAGTGCAAGAAAATGCTCAGGGCAGTGCAAGAAAATGCTCATGATCTTGTGGGAATTCTCTTAGGTTAGGAGTGTTGTAGGCAAGGAGGTCACGTGTTCTCTAAATCTAAGATTGCTTTGTCGCATGTTTCTATAAACCTATACCTCAGTTAATGGAAAAAAAATAACGTTCTTTGCTTCTCTCGGCACTAGATGGGAAAACAACAAAGATCAGGTATGGGGCTCTCGGCTCTGGATGGGAAAACAACAAGGATCAGATATGGGTCTCTAATAGAAAAGAGGACTCTTCAGTTGCTTTTGATCGATTTCGATGTGGAAAGTGTGCGCAAGTCAAACTGGAAAGTTTTCTATCCTCTCCATTAACTCCACTTTTCCTTCGCTTGTCGCTTCTTTTAAGAAAGCGTTCTTTTTTTTTTTTTTTTTGGGATACATAAATTTTTTTGAGACTACTTACTGGAGTTCTTTTTACATGGTACCATGATCTTAGCCTCGATTTGTCATTTAGTACCGTCCACGCTTCCACTTATGAGATATCTAATCGTTGCTCGACAGGATTTTAGGTCTACTTGGCTCTCAAAGCCAAATCAACGCATGAATATTTCGGCCTCTTCCTATCTTTTGATTGATCAAGAGAATCTAATCATTTCATTGGAGTTAGCCAAATCGCAAGTAGAGAGATCTTGTGGTAGCCACTTGGGATGCAGCTTACCTGGCCGTGGTCGTGTAATCTGTCTTTACAGTATCGATCACGGTACGACTCTCCTAGAATTAATGCGTTGGGCACCTTAAGGATGGGCTCTGTTCAGCAGCAGAAAATTAGTCTGGATGATTTCAAAAGATCTTACGGTAGGTATCTCCGATGTTGGATTTAATGTTGAAATTTCGCTGACAATTAAAAATGAAAAAGAAGTAAAGAGGGGTTAAAAAGCAAAAATCACATTAGTACGCTAAAAGCAATAGATGACAAGCAATCTTGGCATTTGGACTACAAGATGTATGGATATCAACATTAAATCGATTATTTCGTTGCAATGAGGATAATATATGGACGGATTTACATTTGCCTCCATTTAATCGCCACAAAAAACAAAACCAAAAGAAAAAAATGAAAAGGTTACCTGGACAAATTGATCGAACAGGACGAGGATGGGAGCCCTGCTAAGTCCGTGACAAGAGTAGCTTTCTGATTGAAGTGGGGTCAGTAAGGCGGAACTTCGATACTAACAACAGCATAATAGAGTACAAATGTGACTGAATCGGGTTAAATGCATGAAACTTCCAAATTGAGTGACGGTAGATGGACCCTTTTAGAAGCTATACGATGGTCAATCAGGAAAACATTTTCAAGCAGAATGCTCAAAAGTACAGAAGAAGAAGTATATAGGAAGACAAGTGGGTTCCCTCCAATTTGAATTTACCCATCGACGTCCGACTAACAGGAAACCCTTTCTTTTCTTTTTTGTGGGCTCGAGGAAGATAATGCTTCCTAATGGAGGTAGTTTTGGTTGTCTAATCTCCGATTCTATTCTTTTGGTTTCTCTTCTATTTCTTACTTGCCGTTCCTGTTTTTGGCGGGTGTGCTTATGGAGGTCAGGTGACTGTTTTATATTTATTAAATAAAAAATCTATGTTAGGTTTGCCAAAAAAAAAAGAACCAAAGAGGTTCTGAGCATTGGCCTGCTTAAATATATTAATTAAGCTTTGAAAAGCCATGCGAATGAGAATAACGTTCACCCTCTGTTAACAAGAAGCGGCACATGTTCATACTTAAACTCGGGTAGATTACTACTTGAGATATTTTTTTTTTAAAAATATTGTAACATTTTTTTAATATAATATATACGAGATGAAAAGATAATTAAAAAGTATGTTTATAATGTAAATAAAATAAATTTGTGCAAATAATCCACTATCGAAACAGACTCATAGTTTGTCATCTAATGCTATATTTCACCATAACATGTTCCTAACCAAAAGAAGAAGAAAAAATATTTATTCATCCTATTCTTGAAACGATACAGGCAAATAGCAACTTAAGCGAATGAGCGTCACTTTTCTACCCTTGTAAATTGAAATGACTAAGCCTCGTGCTCAAGCTTGGCCTTAAAATAAAGTAGATTAAAAACCTGGAAGTAGAGCTGCAAACGAATCGAGCCACTCGCGAGCCAAGCTCGAGTCGAGCTCGAGTCAAACTCGAGTTCAGAATATTAAGCTCGTTAGCTCGCGAACCGGCTCGCGAGCTTGAGTATATATATATATATATATATATATATTATTTAATAATAAAATTACGTATATTATATATATATTTTTTTATTTTTTATTTTCATAGTGAAATTACGTATATATCATTAATATTTTATTATTTATTCAGAAAAAAATATTATATTATTTATTTTTTTTAAATAAAATAATTTGTTTTATTTTTTTCGAGCTCGAGCTCGAAAATTGCCAGCTCGTCGAGCTCGAGCTTGGTAAAATTTAGTCAATGTTCGGCTCGATTAGCTCAAAACTCGACTCGACTCGGCTCGTTTGCAGCCATACCTGGAACCTGCAAATCTACCTGCAAATCTAGAAAAGGAGAATCTTCTAACTTTTGGCTGGCCCTATCAAAATTGCAGACCTGAAAGGCAATTTTCGAGCTCGAGCTTGGTAAAATTTAGTCGACGTTCCGCTCGATTAGCTCAAAACTCGACTCGGCTCGGCTCGTTTGCAGCCATACCTGGAACCTGCAAATCTACCTGCAAATCTAGAAAAGGAGAATCTTCTAACTTTTGGCTGGCCCCATCAAAATTGCAGACCTGAATTATAAATTTGAGGCTTGAAGTAGCAGAAGGCAGAATGAGGTCAGAAATGTAAAATGCTTCCACTTCTGCAACACCAAGAAACTCTGCCACTTCAGCAAGCATTTTGTCAGTTAGCTTGGGATCCACCAGTTTCTGGACATAAATATTAAACATAGGGAATGCAGAGTCTTTTCCATCTTTCAATTGCCATATTAGCTTGACACTAAATTCCTTGGACCCTTCAGAACCTGAACTCCATTTTATGTATTCACCTCCAACAGTCCAAGAGGCAGATGGTGGGAAATCTGAGTTCTGTGAAGGCATATGGACATTTAGATGCCCAAGCACAGCAGAATACTCGGATTGACTAAGAGCAAGCGATGAATTGGGATCATCTGGTTCCAGTTGAGAGCCAGTGACTAAAGGCGTTGCCATGTAGCATACAGCATGAATTTCTGTTAGCGTGTAACCGCCCATTGCAATGCTACTTTCCTGCACGATCCATTCTGGTGCTGCCTCCGCATTCGTAACCCGACGTGGCATTATCACAGAACTAAATTGGCTTGAGAAACGGTTCATCGTAAGCAAAGTGTTTCTCCAGGATGCAAGAAGGATGGATATTTTGTCTTTCATGGCAGATGAGAACTCAAGCAAAAGTCCTAGAAGAGAGCTGTCATTTGATTTCACCTGAAAAAGTGATACATTCAACAAGCAAATTGACAGCATAGAATTCCATATCCAGGATATACATATAAACTCAGAAGAAATTGCCTGCTTTTGATGCCATCAAACAATTTCATAACCTTATCAGTCTAAACTAATCAAATTTAGAGAAGTTCCATGAGGTCCACATTTTTCCAAATGGAAGTAGCTAAAGTATTAAGGTTTTGGTCCATTTCAAAGTTTAATTATACCTATCATTACTCCCCCTGGTCATTTCATGTTTTCCAATTTCCACCGTTACTTTATGTGAATTCAAAGTAACTCTTATAATAGTAGCTAGAAGTAGATAGGTATACTGAACACTCATTCATTATGAATTTTCAGTATATATTTGCAAGCCCACTTAGCCAAAAAATATGTTTACCAAAATTTGTGAACCTTCATCTTATAGCCCCTGGGGGTTTTATGTTCTAGGAATGTGATAAAAACCTAGACTTATATGATTGGTGTTCCATCATTTATAAAAAAAAATCTATTACTTGAACGATTAGGCTTGACAAATCAAATTGCACCGGATAAATAGTTCAAATGCTTTATAAGAAACTTGCATACAAATTAAATAGCTTACAGAGTATGTAAAGTGAACTGGTAAATCTCCCAAAATGAGCTCCCCTTGGAAGAGCCTTGCCTTAAAATAAGCATCACCATCAAGAGTTCCTTTAAATGTGATATTCCCTCCTCCACTGTAAGATGCTTCCTTAAAACTACCATTTCCAAAATATATATTCAACACCAAGTAAGATACTGTTGTCTTGTCAAAACATTATAGACAATAATATTTTCTATTTTCAGCTCTTTGGAAACAAATAAAAGCATATCTAAAAACTAAGGAGCAATCACATTGAATTAAAGAAAGAATGATAGTGGAAGTAAAAGATGAAGTCTTCCTTTACGAAACCAAACATAAATTGTGATTATAAGGTCCGTGGAACTCAAAATGGTTCTTCTTGTTTAGAGCAATAATTTTTTAGCTTATGGGATAACAAGTAGAAGGCACGCATCGAAGGAAAAATAAATTCTAATGGGAGTAAAACAAATGTCATCCTTGTCGAAAGTGACATGCTTATGTCACTGCAAATGATTATTGGAGGAACAAAACTTACTCGACGGAGACTTGGATGGTATCTGATGCAGAATCTCCAGAGAACTTGAGAAAGGGCTGTGACATGAGAAAATGAGTTTAGCGGAAAAAAAGAAGCAAATAATAATGCCACCATAGAACGGAATGTGGTTCAGAACAGCTTAGTGCATATAATGGATCACCCTTGTTAATTGTATCACATTCAGCGCTTAAAGTTTGGACAACATGCAAACGATAATCAATAGCATGAATTCAACAATCCCCTCTTCCTCCCATCAGCAACTCAACCACACACACAAGCCTGTTTAACTGGTCAAGATCTTTTAGATAGTAAAAGTAAAGGCACTACATAACTAGTGGTTTAGTTTCACCAGATGACAAATATAGAGCAAAGATTCTGAAATTGATCCATTCTAGTACCATGTAAACCTTAACAACTTGTAGCATCTCTTCTAGCACAAGGTTAATGGATAAAACGACATACAAAATCTGTAATAGTATGTTTATTTGCTCAACTATTCAATAGATTAGGTACCTCCATCTGGTAGCATCATATGGATACTCGGAAAAGGCATTAAAAGAAAAAACACGATAAGTGGAAGCATACTTGGAAGCTTTGGGAAGAAATGTTATTCCAAGGAGTGCCTGATATTTGTGCTCCGTCAACTGATTTATGGTGGCCATGACCCTGTACAAGGACACAAAGGTCATCTTGCATGAGTCGTATTTAAGCAGCAGATTTTTTCTCATAAGCATTGTTATGATTTGCAGGAGCCAAGTGACAAACCAATAAACCCTTGCGTGTACAGGATAAGGCAAACTGATCTTAAAGAAGAATGAAAAGGAATAGAAGATGTAGACTTGCTTAATCAATACCTGGTCAAAATTTGAGTAGAATGGAAGTGCTTGGGGGTATTTCAATGAAATTCCCCAAGATTGCTCAACGAGCCCCCACCATCTGCAGCAACAATGATATTATGCAGAAGTTGATTATAAGTAATAGAGAACAAAGGCAGCACATATACATCTAAGTACTTAAAACGTGTCTCCTAAAAACAGTATTAATAAGAACTCTTATATACGGTACTCAACCCATTTTTGAGAAAGCAATTGGTTTAAATCTCATATCCTACCATAGACAGTTAATAATGATCATTGTAAACAGATATGCCAAAGAAAGCATAACTTCAATGTAACAACTCTCTGAGTTCAGTAAGTAAATAAGCAAAACAAAAGAAGCGACGAGGAAAGCATACATGTAACCAGATCAATGAAACATCAAATGAATCAGACTTTGAGGATTCAACAACATGGCATAGTTTCAACAAACAGAAGCATTTTGTATGAAAATTTTGTTGCTAGCCAGCTATTTGCAAGAAACTGAGTTGACATAGATCAGCCTAGATTTTGTAAAAGCACTGAACTACCCAAAATTACTTGCCATGGATATTACAACAAATAAACCTTTGAAAATATTACCAATGAGGCTTACATCCTAAAGGCCATTTAAACTCTAGAATCTTTCTTAGATAATTGAGTCGTACATTTGAAAGATACTTTAAGCAAGTTCAAAGATTACAAATGTAATATTTCTTCCTCTTGTAGGTTCCAATTCATATATCATTTAGATAACCTCGTAGCTGTATTTAAATTATTCTGAACAATTTATTGTTTCACAAACCACTTTCATAGCTTCTTTTTTCTAGCTGGAGAGTATTATAAGGCACAGAGGAAAAATTTCCGGAGCACCATCAATGAATACCCAAAAAAGTAGATCAATTACAACTAGACAGGAAGCAATTACCTACCGATTTTGAGCAGTTTGAAAATCAGGTGGTTGCTTGGTCTCATAGACCCACCCAGGAGCAAAAATTGCTGCTGACACATCATCATTCTTTATCACATCAAGTGCAACATTTGTCTGCGCAAACAGTTATCAATCAGATGCATAAGAACCTCCTTCCAAAGGTGATGATTACAGATCTTAAATCAGCCTCTAGAAGGGAATTTTCATAATTATTATGTCAAATTGTCAGCTAGAACATGTCTAAAGATTGACAAATTAACTAAACACACTATTCCACAATTCAATAATTAATATTCATGCTAAAGACAAAACAGAAATTCTGAAAGTGTTAATGTTCATTTCATTAAGAGCACTTCTGTCCACATCAGCACAGGCATAAAACCTATGAACTGGTATGAAAAGATACAAAATGTTGATGAGAAAATATAGGAATTAAGGGAAAAAAATCTAAAAGAAGATCCATAAACCAAGAAGCTCCCCCCCTCTTTTAATTGGTTAATATTTGACCTAGAGGCTTCATGTGACGTAAGATCGCTTGGAGAACAACAATCCAAAATTTAGTGATGCGCCGGGGTGGGGGGGGAGGAATACTTTGGCAACAAAATGCAAGATCATTTAGCTACCACCCACATTCTGTATCTCGCCTATGTCAGCCCAATAATTGGGGTATTTTAGGAAGTACCATGCCTTTGATACAGCTTACCATCGTCCTGGAATAAACAATTTTTGGAACTAAAAACATCATGAAAATTGGAGGCACACAGAAGTATAAAATCCTGCAAATAGGATGAACTAACAGGAAAGTTAAAGGATGGTCTAGACAGAAAAGGTTGCCAATTTTGACAAAAGCTATTAAAAAGATAATCTTTAATTAGCCATTTTTAAATAACAATTATAGACTAAAAATTGTGTGTCTATAAAGTTGGTGTGGGACACCATGAAAGTATTGTAACAGTCTAACATTATCTTTTATCTCCATATCGCATAGATTTTTCCCCTTTTTTTATACAGAGCATTCTCTGCAAAGGAGACTTCCAAGAAATTTACCTTCCAACTACATCTACACTAAAATATATGAAATCACACTTGAGCTAAACACAAAAGGGCTATGTAGCTCTTCTATTTTGCCAGAATTTGTTGGAATATATCATACATCAAAATGCAGATAAGAGAAAACGCAACATATTTCCATTTATTGCATAGATTAGGATTAGTAACATACCGTCCACTCTCCACCACCATATGTGTTCCTCCCAAAGACATCAATTCCCATATAGACATCAAAACGTCTATCACCAGCAACTGAAGCGGATTCCTTAGGATAAGTTTCCTGCTTGGTAAAGAAGAGTATATTTACCAGAAAACTAAAAAACTGTTATAAATTGAATTGAAGTTCCAGGGGGTAAAGAGAATACCTTCCATGTATAGTTTACAAATATGCCATCACATAAATCAAAGAAAGGTTTATTCATGTCATTCAACTGATTTTGCCAGTCAAGGTCACCATTAATAGTAACACTGTCATACCTGAAAAAAGTACAGTTGTCAAAATTGTATTTCACCACGTTGCTAAGAAGTAAAAGTAGAGACAGTACTGTGAAATGTAAATGATAAATTTCGTAACACCCACCATATGACTAAAGATGTAGGTAGTGACGAGTGCATGGTCTGGGTTAAATGGCTGACAAACTCTTTCAGATTTGGGATTTGTCCCACATCCAACTCAACCTCCATATTAATCTGAAAATATGAGAAAATGGAGTGATCCAACCTCTGGCAGTTGTTCAAAGAAATAACTTCAGGAACGATGTCTTCTGCCCCTAGCTTATCAAAACATGTCATCAAATAGAGTAACTAAAAGAGTTTCTTTTACCATGAAACGTCACTTGATGTGTATACAACTATCTAGTATACAATGAAAAGAAATAAGAAAAAATCTGACATAATATTGTTTCTCAAGTTCACGCTACACAATATTTCAAAATTTCCAATGACAAAATGAGTTCAGATAACAGTACATAGATATACTTTTAATTTTTTTACGATATATGTTGCCCAGTGGATGCACCTGACTTTTCTCTTTCATATATTTCCTCAAATTAATCTAAGACAGTTAATCTCAATGCGGCTCTCTTGGAACATTAAGCAATCTCTCTGGAAAAGGAGAGAAGAGAATGTAAGAAAAGGAAAAAGGTCATTGGCAAAACGAGCATCTGTCATCTCTGACTTGTGCCGCTGATTAATGAGCATCAAACACGTCAATGACTAAACATTTAAATTGCCTGCAGATACTCACCAGCCATCCATCAAAGCCCAGAGCAACAGCAAGCTCAGTCAAGAGCTCAGCATACATTTGAGCAGACTCCTTTGTGGACAGCAGTTTGTTAGCTATAATTCTCCCTTCCTTCCACTCCATGATGAACGTTCCTAGAACCTTAAATTCCATTACCAAGAATCAGTAAAAGGACAGCAAAAACAACCAAATCACACACAACACTTTTCTGAACCAGCTATTTTTGTCCATCAAGACTCAAAAGGAGAAGCCTGGCACGTTGCAATTAGAATTAATATTAATTACTATTACCTTTTAATAAAGTTTAGGAAGTCTTTGTACAAATTCCAAAGCCATTTTGCAAGTAAATGTACCCAAAAAAAAAAAAAAAATCCAATATAAAGAGGGTATACATGTACATGCATGAATCTCTAAGTATTTTTGTTGGTAAAAATATGTGTAGTTATGTATCAACAATTTGAAAAAGATAGAGTTGCTGGCGCTAACAATTGTCGTATTATTTCGAGCAATGTCAACAACAATGTACAAGGTGTGCTCTAAGACCCTTACAGACATTTTCTTACAGAAAAACATAGTAGTGTAACTTTCGGAAAATGTTTGTGGAACCCGCACGAGGTGAAAGACAAAGTGACAGCATCGTGTCGTTTTTTTTTAAAAAAAAATCAGTTAACTTTGGTCATTTTCTTTCATATCATTTTGAAAGAACACGAAAGTTTTTTTTTTAAAAAAGAAAAATGAAAATCATTTCCATCTCTTTCAGAATTACTCCACTTGCTAGCTTCTGAAAAACTAAAAATAAAGAAAAAATCATTTAAAACGTTTCTGACATGACATTTTTTAAATGAATTTTTTTGTCCTTGATATTTAACATAGTAACTTAATGTCCCAAATAAAATCAATTCAAGTAGATAAAATTTAGTCTCAACATAAGTTTTCCATCATTTTTATCCTGAATCTAATACTCTTTGCAGGGGTAAAAAAGTTTAGATTACATCATTTGTCATTAAACAAATGATGTAATCTATATTTATTTTTGTCCAACAAAATAGCATCTGACCCAAATCATGTTCATTTTCCGTCCTAAAAATGTGAAATCTAATCCAATCCATGTTTATTTGCCATTGAAAAGAGCTTGAGCTGACCTTTTTATACATAAAAGTGATTGTATGTAAGCTACGTAGTAATTAAGTGATTGAAAACTTGTAGTATTGGGACTAAATTTTGTTAAATTAAATTTGTAAAAAATGTAAAATTAATATTTTATAAATGAATGACCCAAAAATTTACTTTGCGAAATGTGGGGATATCTTGAACGATTTTATTTTCCCTACGACGAAGTAAAGTTCTATCCTCAGAGAAGCAATTAAAGATAAAAAGTAGCAGCTACTAGGCTGCCACTCTCTATCCATACTCCACACAAGAAGAAAGGAGAAAGAAGAAAGAAACGAACTCAAGTACCTTGACACCATGCTTGTGTGCAGTATTGGTCCAACAAGGAGGAGGCAGAGTAACCAAATAATGAGAAAAGTAAACAAAAACATCCATCAAATACCAATGCCAGATAGCATAGGCATCAGCATTATTCCCTCCTTGTACCCACTTATCATCCGCGTAGCCTCCCTCCAAGTCATGACACACCAGCATCCTCCGCCGTTGCGGCAAGGCGGCAGCCGAAGACTGCTGCTGCTGCAGCTTCACTCTGGACTTGTTGAAGGGGAAATGGAAGGAGTCGAAGTAGGACCTGGACTGGAGCTCTTCCAGCGTTTTGAGAGGGTAGGAGATTGGAATTGCAGGTTCTTTCGGATCAAACGGCGGAGGATCGGAGTTTGGAAAGGATTGAATTTGAGGAGCGTCCTCCGTCACTGGATTTGAATCCATTATAGTAGAGATGATGGAGAGGAGAGGGTCTAGAAAGGATTTGAGATAGCTGAGAGTGTGGCGGTGGCGATACCAGAAGCGACGGAGAGTTGGAGTTAAATAGGCGCGAAGGCGAAGCAGCATCGGGGGAGTGGAGGAGGAGGTGGTAAATTACTACTAGTACCATGCGATCCATTATTGGAGTCTTGGAACTGGGGGGACTGGGAATAAATTTATTTTTTATTTTTAATTTTTCTTGGCGTTGGAGCGACGGCGATGTAAATTTTTCCACTGGGGGATGACCTGGGAATTACAGGGGCCATTCGATGATTGGTGGTAGAATTGACTTGGATCCCGGTCTTTCCGTCGAATTTCGTGTTTCACTTGTACGCTTGATCGAAGCAGCTTCGTCATCCCAGAAGACATCATCATCAATTAAACTCTCCCGCCATCACCCATGGTCCCAGGGGATCAATCAAATCTGAAACTGCACATAGTTGTTTGGCAAAGGATTTTTTTCTGCTAAGTTTTTAATTTCTCAAAAATTTTTAAATATATATTTCAAAATATTCAAAACCGCACAAAACCACAACTCTTTTTTTCCTTTCTTCTTCTTCCTTCCTCACCTCAACTCACCACCGTCTCTGCGGGCATCAGTGACGACGCCTCCTCTTTTAATTTTTTTTTTTCCCTTTCCTTTCCACTTTCCCTCTCCTCTCCTTCCCCCGCCATCTCCTCCCCCACCCCAGCGCAACCAGATCTAATCGTGACCAGGGAAGTAGAGGACAGGGAGGAAGGAGAGAGAGAGGAAAAAAGGTTTTTGTCGCCAGTGGTTGGCGGCAATGTCGGCGATGACAGTCGCTCCCTAGGGAAGAAGGAAGGAGAAGAAGAGGGAAGGAAAAAAAGGGGAAAAGAAAGAAGTGCCCGCCTATAGACCCTGCGGTACACAAATTGCCATGTCATCAATATAAGGACAAAAACTAGCAGATACTAGTAGAATTCTAGTCCTGTTCATTGCTCGGCTTCAATTCTCTTCCGCTTTAGCTTAACCGTGGTCAGTGGCTTTACCAGAATCCGATCTCTCAATTCTCCTCCCCTCCCCCCTTCCTTTTCGTTTTTGTGTTTTTCCTTTTCCTCTTCTTTCTGGTCTTTCCCAAATACAAGTACTACTACACATCAGAATTGGGTGGCAACAAAACTCCACGTCCAGGTTATGATTTGTTTTTGCTTTAATCCCCACTCAACATCCTCCAAGGTACCAAAGCCCAAATGTTTTTCTTTAATATCTGATTGAATTTGTCTTGTAAGTTTGCGGTATACATTTGGGTTTCTCGTTGCAGCTTTAAAAAATATTTTTGAAACTTAGGTCTTGTGTGAGAGGGGAAGAAGACACGGAGGAGATGAAGAATCAAGTGGCAGCGGGTAGTTCAATGGAGATGCAAATGTCCGCTAGTCCAGAGGAACAAAGTGATTTGGTAGTCGCCGACGAGGGTTTTCTTGGAAAACAAGACTATGAATATATGGATCTATTGAATGATTTTAATGTCCTGGAAGAATTTTCTAATGAGGAATTTGGGGTTTAATATTAGGAGGGAGTACGTGAGAAAAGAGTCATCAGACAGTTGTGATTGTGAATCCATCTTTACTGACGCCGCTGCTGGATAGTGCAGTTTTGCGAGGAATACTGCTGATTGAGAGTCCAGCGGACCGTCCATCTCCATCCGGTGGTGACAGCCCCAGCGGGGCCTTTGGGAGAGACGGGGAGGGGTGAGGCATTGGGGAGAGAGAACCAAAAATATACACGGAGTGGCAAATTTTATACCACTCGTCTACAAGTCGGATTGTAGACCTAGTCTACACAAGTTTTTTCCTTATGCCTTTTATCTTCTGTCATTTATACATATTGACTAGAAAATGGAAAATGGAAAATGGGAAATGGGGTGTGTTTGAATACTCATTATTTATATTAAAATTATTTGATTATATCATAAATATATTTTTTTAATATATTTTTATTATATTTTTATTTTTCATATATCACATCATAAAAAATATTACAATAATTATTTTAAATAAACTCCAATCCAAACATGCTATAGTTCCTTGTGGATGCAGGACATGTTGGTGCACTTAAATTCAGACCCTATGGAAAAAGTAGGTAGAATGTTGTGGGCTTATTTGGGACAATAGATATAGGAAACTCTTTCACAGTTTGGGTGGTAATCCTTTGTCGGGATATTCTACAATATGGTATAGTGGTTTAGACCATTTTTGTGGTAAAGTTGTGACGGACCAATAAATCAAGGGCAGCTCAGAAAGCACAGAAATCAAGGCAGGCTAATGGACTCACATGAGCCGGTTACGCAACTCAAACAGTACAGGTTATTGGGAAACATGGGCCAAAAAAATTGTAATGGAAGAAGTGGAAGTTGTACTTGACTAAAAAGATTTTCATCACTGTGAAATGTTAATGAAACTTCTAATATGTTATTAGACTTATGTATAACTTGTAGACTCTAATCAAATACACATAATGGAGCATCCCAATTTAAGTGAACAAAGTCAATTTCATTGAAAAAATTAATATGGATTTATTCCAAAAACACGTTTTGGGTAGGTAATCATACTCAATAGTTAAAAACGATCACCTACTGATTAACGACTTTATATAAAAACAGGACAATCACGATTGTCACAACAAAAGGAGCGTATTCGACAATTTTTGTTTTACCCTTTAAAGTTTCATGATGCCCTTTACGTGACAAGAATTGCAATAAATTGGAATAATTGAATCTAATTCAAAAATTAACAATTACCAAGAAGTGTCGTTATTAATCAAAGAGAGAACTTTGTGGAGTTTAGCATTAAATGAGTACAATTTAATGTAATTTAAAACATATCAATGGTTATTAGTGGCGAACAACCACCTCTATCACCTAAATTTCTCGCTTAACTAAATATGCCTACTGATTAACAACTTCATATAAAACAGGATAATCACGATTGTCATAGCAATAGGAGCGTATTCGACGATTTTGTTTTACCCTTTAAAGTTTCACGATGCCCTTTATGTGACAGGAATTGCAATAAATTGAAATAATTGAATCTAATTCAAAAATTAACGATTACCAATGAAATATCGTTATTAATTAGAGAGAGAGCTTTGTGGAGTTTAGCATTAAATTGGACCAATTTACGGTAATTTAAAACATATCAATGGTTATTAGTGGCGAACAATCACCCCTATCACCTAAATTACTCGCTTAACTAAATCTACCTACTAATTAACGATTTTATATAAAACAGGATAATCACGATTGTCATAGCAATAGGATCGTATTCGACAATTTTGTTTTACCCTTTAAAGTTTCACGATGCCTCATACGTAACAAGAATTGCAACAAATTTGAATGATTGAATCTAATTCAAAAATTAATGATTACTAATGAAATATCATTAGTAATCAAAGAGAGAACTTGAATTAGTTTTGCATTAAATTGGACCAATTGAATGTAATTTAACACATATAAACGATTGTCAGTGGCTAATGATCACCGCTAACAACAATTACTTGCTTAACTCAATCTACCTACCTCCAAAGTACTTTATATGAAACAAAGTAATCACGATTGTCATAGCTTTATTTAATTGAGGTAAATTATCAAACAACCATTTGGAAGCACCAAATTTTCCACAAGTAATGATTATCAAACTTAAAGTCACTTCTTTGTTTATTTGGCATGAAAATATTGTAATTCCTAATTAAATGATTATGTGGGAGGGTAAAGGACAAATCCAGATTCAGTGGGATTGTAAATGGCCATACATGGCCCACGTCATAAGTTGGCTACTTACTGAGAATACATTAATACATTATGGCGTCTTCTTGACAAATCAAACATAACCCATATGCTGGAACATATGAATGGGCTGTATGAATGGGCTGCATATCAATGGGCTGCATGAACGATGCTTGACCATATGCTCTTTGTTTCACTCATGCTTCCTGGACTCCAAAACAACTTCAGTCTTCGTGTACGAGCTGTTCAGTATTTAGTTTTTTTTTTTTTTTTTTTTTCGAAGTCAGCAAACTTTTGACGACGTTTTACTAACCTTAACCCCGTGAGAACCCTCAAAAGCCGGTAACTTTTGAAGGTCTCATAGGAGACTAATATACTAACCACCCAAACCCCCCCCAACCCCGATGTAGGACTTCAACCTCCACAAGAGAGCCTGTCAGACCTAAAGAAACCCCTTACCCCCAAGCCGGTAACTTTTGAAGGTCTCACAGGAGACTAATATACTAACCACCCAAACCCCCCCCAACCCCGATGTAGGACTTCAACCTCCACAAGGGAGCCTGCCAGACCTAAAGAAACCCCTTACCCCCTCGTGTTGAGGCTGATATGTCTTTTTTTGTCGAAGTCAGCAGACTTTTGACGACGTTTTACTAATTTTAACCCCGTGAGAACCCTCAAAATCCGGCAACTTTTGAAGGTCTCACAAGAGACTAATATACTAACCACCCAAACCCCCCCAACCCCGATGTGGGACTTCAACCTCCACAAGGGAGCCGTTCAGTATTTAGTCACTCCGGCAAACTATGTGCATTGTCTGTCCCCTTCCACGTCTCTCTCCGCCTAATCTACTCTACGTCATTGCCAAAAATTGTTTCTTCTCCATGTTTCTTCCCAATTTGTCTTCATGATTTTTCCTTTGATATTCTCTGCCTCAGCTTATGCTTATGCCGCTGACAGAGTAAAAGGGTGAGGTTTGGACAACTTCTTATCCCTTCTTGGCCATCCCGTCTTTTGGAACTAAATTTCCAACTAGGTAGTCACGTGACATGCTGGGTCCGTATTTCAAGCATTCGGTTGCCGGTTATTTTGTATATTTTTTCTTAGGTTCTTTCCTCCCTATCTTTGTACGGAATAGATGTGACCAAACCATATACACCGTACTAGTTTGTGTCAGTCTAACACCATTTCTGTGGTATAAACCGCTAATACCACACTAAAGTAGATTCTATCCTTTGACCATTACTTCTTTATCTCTGAATTTGCTTCATGATTTTTCCGAGGCTAATAAGTTGAATTCAAGTCCCGACACAATCAATCAATGCGAGAGAGAGCTTCATCCAAAAGTTAAAGTCGATTTTGATGGGGGCTGTCTTCGCAGACATAAATGTTGTCGGATTAGGTGTGGTAAGGACTCGGGGCACGGACGGTTGCACTTGCAACCGTTCCAGGCAGTTTTGGTCATTATCAACTGCGCGTAATTTTTTTTGTACATCGTGTAACTTTTTTTACACATCGCGTAACTTTAGAGCAAATTTTTGTGGGACCCACACATGACGTGAAAATCGAGTTACAACTTGTAATCTCAGCTGCACAAATTTTTGAGGTCAAATCATGGCTATTAACCGCTCAAGGACGGCTGCAGGTGCAACCGTCCCTGCCCCATTTCCGTGTGGTAATCGGAGATGACGAAGGTAATTTTCTGACTGGTGAGTCTTAATTTTCTCCTGTAATTGTTGAGGGAGATGTTGTAGCAGTCATCAAGGCTGGACGAAGATGATTTCTCAATTGCGATGCATTTATATATAAGGGTGCTTTTAAGCACTAAAAAATCTCTAGATTGTCTGTATTTTCCGTAATTTAAGGATCTTAGTTCTTGATAATTTAAAAAGCACTTGTGTCGGAGTTTTTTTTTTTTGTTTGTTTGTATAAATAACTGCAATTCCAAATGGAGCCTTAATCCAAATAAGATAGATAAAATCACTTCCTCTCTCTCATTTTTTTTTCCTTTTTCATTGGTGTTCTTTCCTTTCCTTTCCTTTTAGTATTTCCTTTCTTTCTCACATATTATTGTAACTCTGGAATTTCGGTACAAGTTTTTGAATTTTTTTGGTTTTCAAGGTAGATTGTTCAATATGAACAAATTTGTCAGAAGAAAACAAATCGAAATGAATTTTAGAATAGCTTTGCGTTTCACATTCAATAGACAAGGAACGAACCCATTCGTTGGTCCAGTTTCAGAAGCATATTTCTGTCATTTCCTATCTCTTTCACGGATTGCCTTGTGTATTTTGCTTCACTTTCAGTTCTGGTTTTCGTGCGAGATGAAAGAAAGAACAGTCTTGAATTGCTCTCAGGCCTGCCCAGAGTAAATAAACCATATGCCAAGAAAGAATAGATGCTCCTTTATGACGAATATGGGGAAAAAAACGCTACGAATTACTTCATCATTTATCACAGATTGCTTACTCCATCTTCTAACTTCCAACCCCACTGCCTGACCTCAAGTCCCCAGAGACGAATAAAATCTATTATTTGTACAGATTAGATCCAACGCTACAATGGCAAGTATTTCTTTGGACTTGTCAGTGTACACCAGCACCCAACAATGGTTCTTCAATAATGCCTTGTTGCAGAGATGACTAAGCTCCCTGACATTGGGAGAATCTGCCCTACCTTCTTCAGCTTACTTTTTATGCTAGATCCTCCTGCAATAGTTTAGACGAGTGTAAATAAGGTATCGTCAGAATGCCGAAAGGTACTCGAGTATATGGCGTGCCAGAAATTGTTGATTCCGCGACTACAAAGTACAATCTACAAGACTGAAAAAACAATACCGGTTTGACTAATAAAATAAATAGTTAAGCAAACAAATATAAAAACTCCTGTCAAATGCACTCCAACGTTGGCAAACCATAATCATCAAACAAAATTTATTTACAAATACACACCGCTCTAACATGAGGACTACACAGGAATACATAAGACATCATCAATTTTCTCTCAAGCAGAAACCGATTGACATGTTTTTGACAAAAAAAACATTTCACAATAATGATATACGGAAATAATACCTAAAATTAAAAATTAAAAATATGTAGAAATAAATGATGCATGATAACAGAACTGAAGCCACACAATGTGAGGACCTCTTAATCCTGGGAAACTAGTCTTACCTTCCTCGCTGTAGGCTTCTTGATGCCTCAGCAAGTGCAACGAGCATATCAAGGAAACTTGTACTTCTTTCTACCTTAATGCTTATTTAAGGTGCTCCCATTCGCAGCTGGCTGATATTCTACCAGTAGACAAGCTTCAAGCAGTCTCAAAGCAAATCTTCAGTTCCAGTCAATTTCGCAAATTCACTTTCATTTATAGCACCCCTTTTTAGCTTTTTCAATAAGCGGTATTCCTGTGCCATCTCGTCATCATCCTCAACTGATTGAGCAGCCCGTCTTTGCCTGGCTGTTTTCTTCCTCATTACAGTGGCTGTAGTGGTTGAGGCTGCTTTTGGCTTCTGTACCTTCTGTTGTTGTTCAGCTGCTTTTTTTGCCTGCAAGTTCTTCTTTCTTTGTTTCTCACGAGATTTATCCCTGCATAATGGATTTACCGATTATCTAGTGCACTGTATACTAGAAAAGAGAGTCCAGTGGGACAATGAGCATGCTCATTCTTGTTTGAATGATTCAGGATACTAAGCTTAATTTTTAGCATCAACCAAGTAAATGCAACAACAAATTTCACTAGAACACTCGTACACTAGCATCCCAAAGTTCTCAATGTGTGTTGATAACTAGCATATTCAAGTTGTTGATGCCTCAAAAGGATCCAACTCTCATTGACGAGATGAGGCTAATAAAACCACAATTGGGTGGCAGAACCAAATATATAGTTCTTGATTCCAAGGGCAAGACTAGGTTAAGCTGACATTTCACATCCCCACCCCGCCCTCCACACCCCCGCCCCAAAAAAAAAAGGAAAATCCCAAAGCCAAAGGGAAATTCCAGAACTAAAAGAGTAAATGATTAACCAATTGCAAGTGTGTCAAATCCTATGAAGTAAGCTGAAAACTTTGAGAAGATTCTTACTTGTACTTGATCTCATCAAGGCTTATATCTTCAAGTGGTGTAAAACCCTCAGTAGAAAGATTGTGATGCTTCAGGTCAGGCATTGCAGGGAGCTGCAATAAGCCATAACCCATACCCAATTTCCCAATCTCAAGTTCTTTCCACCTGCAGAAAGGAACAATGAGTCTTCCAAGAAAAAACAAGATTCATATTGAGCGTATACCATAAAATTCACTAACCTGAATATATAGGAGCAGTGATGCTCTTTGTATGCACGGATGTAGGAAACAAAAGCTCTAAGCCCTTTTTCCATGACATCACGATCCTTTTTTGCAGCTGACCTTATCTGCAAAATGCAATTCCAATCATTTTAATGGCACCATAAGCCAAAGTGTATCTAAGAAACAGAATTAATGGTGACGTATTTTCCACCGATCACATCAAAGTTATGTTTAAGCTGCAGCTCACTGTTACTCATGGCACCAAAGCAAGGATTAGTATTGGCCAAGAATCAATATATTTGAAGACATCAGGTGCTGGAAAATTAACATAGTTAGATGTGGCTAGCATCATAAAAGGATATCTGAAAAGCAGGGGAATGTATGTTTTTGTCATAATTTACACTTCATTAGGTGATAACTAAATGCTCCACTTGGCTCCTCCTCATTTTCCTCTCCTACACCAAAGCCATATCATTGGTGGTACCAGGATTCAGCAAAGAGGTACACATGCACACACATATACCCATACCTATGTAAACTAACATAGAGAGAAGAAACTTTAAACTGAAGGAGCCATCAAGCAGAAACTCTACATAAGGTATTCCAGACACAAGCCTTTTTGTATGAGGTATTTGCATAAATAACTAGCACAAAATAGCCTCACACAATTACCTCCTTTGACCTCAACAAAAAAAAAAATCCACTCTCTCCATCAATACACACATACATGTAGAAAAGGAAGGGGGTGGTCCTTGTGTAGCCAGTATAAAGGCCAAAAATGCAGAAATGAAAAGAATAAGATTCAAACATAAGTTCATGAACAACCTGTGGGACAATATCACAAACATCATCTGGGCTTTCTCTCTCTTCAAGTGGAACCCTCCTTACTCGAAGGAACTCAACATATGCTTCCTCCTGTTCGAACATACAGGAAAGAAAGCATTCAACTATAAAGCACTTCATAAATGATGTTCTGCAGAAAGCATAAACAAGACATACAAGTCATACAACAAATGCCAAACCTTTGGTAACAAAAACACAATAGCATTTCCTTGCCGTCCCAACCTAGCTGTTCGTCCTACTCTATGAATAAACACATTTGGATCCTGAGGGGGGTCATACTGCATATAAAACAGAAGCAGTCAACTTCTCTAGTAACTATCAGCATACGATACAAAAGTAATGATAGTGCCAATTAACTACCATTAAGTTACCTGTACTATGCAATCAACTCCAGGAATGTCAAGACCACGTGCAGCTACATCGGTGCATAGAAGGACGCCACTTGCCAGAGATGTGAATGAAGCCAACGCTTTTTCCCTTGCAGTCTACAGCAACCATACCCCATATATAAATAAATATATATTATGTATGTGTGTGTGCGTGTATAAAATGCATATTATCATGGAATATATTTAGAGAATGCTGCTCATAGGTTTCACTTATTCATGACAAGGTCAAAACAGTTACCTGCTTCATCTTTCCATGAAGTGAGATTATAGATAAACGCTTTAGAGCAGATATTTGAGGAAGAACAACTCCCCAGTAATCCACACAAGCACAGGTCATAAAATAACTGCAAGATTATGCATCTTTATGTAGACCATCTTCTAATAGAAATACAGCATGATTAAGATAATCTTTCACAATTACAAGAAATAAAATTCAAAGCTCACATTATAATCTTCTTAGACATGTTCTGAGTAAGGAGTTGAACAAGCTGCGATGGTTTCTTATCTGCTTCGCACTCCAGATACTGCAGAAGGGAAAAAATAAATTAATGAGCTGCCCAGAAAGCATTATTTAAACATATCACACGTATAAATAGACCAGATGCCTTGATCTCCACAACGGTAGAGACGTTCAATCCACCTCAATGTGAAGGCCAGAAGGTGTTTTTGATGGTGCCTGTTGTTGGGAGGATGTTGGATTGTCTAGCATTTTCATTTCTGCTTGAACCTCAACCCTTACAGGATTTCTTAATCCTGCCTTGGAAAGCTCTTCAACAGCTTCAGTTTGAGTAGCTGAAAAAAGACCAGTTCTACGAAGCTTTGGTAAGCGTGATATGATGGCATTTATCTGCTTCTGGAATCCCATATCCAACAGCCTGTCAGCCTCATCCAAAATGAGAATCTGGAGAAGAGAACATATTCGTGCTAGTAAGAATCAACAAAGGACCAAGCATATTCATGTATACACTTTAACTATGGCCAACAAACAAAGTGATGATTATATTAGAATAAATCGTATTCTAGTCCAAAACCTCAGACATCCTGTGAAAGACGAGGGCAGAAATTATGAGATCAGGCACTGACCAGAGGCTATAAGCTCCCATTTTTCCTAGTTGGGAAAGGAATTCCACTAAGTAAAAGTAGCCTATCCTTTTTTTTTTTAACAAAAATAAATAAAGCATATCCTTTTTGGAAATATTTGTGTACAAAATCACATAAAAGTGGATCCTGAGTATAAATTTGTGGCTTACAAATTACATCGAGAAAATGCGTGTCAAGGTGTTTTATAGTCTAGTTCAAAAAGAAATATTGCTGGCCTTGACTTTTAGAGTACCATGGTCTTGACTTTCAGAAAAAACATACAATCAGAATTACCAGCCCATATACAAGTGTTTATAAACCTATTTAACGAAGCCACATAAAGAGGAATCCAACTAAACACCTCAAGATTCCGAAAATCCAACAAGTCCATACGCTCCATTATGTCAAAGAGCCTGCCAGGAGTGCCAATCAATAAATTTGCACCCTCTTCTTCTAATTTCCTCACGTCCGATTTTACTTCTACCCCGCCGACAAGAAGCACAGACTTTACATTTGACAACGTGGAGATGAATGGCTGTGCAACATGGTATATTTGCGATGACAATTCCCTCGTGGGTGATATGATTAGACCAAGTACCTGTCCGTATTTCAGACTTTAGCGTCAAAATAGAACCAAAAAAACAGAACTCCTGATAAATCTTCCATTCAAAAATTTGATGCACCGTATACACACACACAAATGAAACTGAAAAACATGTCAAGTATGGAAGAAAAAGAACCCTGTGAATAGTGACCGATTCAGCTGCCGTCACACTAATAGCAAAATGTAACCGATAAAAGTGAGGCAATTACAAAATGCATTAAGTGAGCAGCAGATTTCAGTTTAAATGGCTAAATTAGGCAGTTTTACAACTCCCAGAAGCTATTCACTTCAAGAGGGGAAAAAAGGAAAAGAATTTAGAAGCACAAGTAATTCTAGTTTGTCAAATTCCAGGAAAAAGCAACAAAATAAACACGAAAACATTGGATTAGCAGCTAGATGAGAATGGTATGGAGCAGAGGATGACCTGATGAGGTTTGGGGGAAGAGGAGCGGCGGAGAATCTCGACGAGAGGAACGAGGAATGCAAGGGTTTTGCCGGAACCGGTGGCGGCGTCAACGGCAACGTCTTTGTAGCTGCAGAGCAAGGGTATAGTGGCGGCCTGAACCGGCGTACAGAAATCAAAACCGGAATTAGTAAGGGCATCAAGAACGGGCTGGGAGAGTGGGGGTTTGAGGTCGGAGAACCTAGTGTCGGTTAAGGCTCTGTTTCGGTTGGAACCTTGGGCGGACGCCATGGTCTGTCTGTTTTTGTTTTTGCGGGGCTGTCGAATGGTTTGCGTCTTTATCATGGAAGGAAGTTAGGAAGGACATCGAGTTCATGAAACCCTTCCTAAACGCTCCACTTTTGACATTTGTCAACTTAACTCAGAGTTAAACTGGTTTATTATCGGTAAAAGCATTATGAGTGTTTGTATAACACAATTATCTCAAATAATATTTTACTTGTATCGTAAATATATTTTTCAATCCATCTTTTTATATTTTTAATTATCTTTTTATTTCATATACATCACATCATAAAAAATGCTACAATAATTATTCCAAATAATATTTTAAATAATACTCTATCCAAACAAATAAATTAATTTTATTAGAATGTGCTATTCAAGTTTCTGGGTTTAATTAAGGAAAAAATAATTCAAATTTTGAATTATTCACATTTAAAATAGTCCTCAAAATCAAGTTGATAAATTTTAGTTTTTCGATTATTTTTACTCTAAATCCATCACGTGACTTACACATAATCATTTTTTAGTAGCAAAAAAAGTTAGATCTCATTTGTAATTAAAAAAACTTAGTTCATATTTATTTTTGTCCCTAAAAATGTAAAATATGACTAAAATTATATTTATTTATCACTGCTAAAAATTTGAGATCAAAACCGAATCAAAATTCATTTTTACCACTATAAAAGTGGAATCTAATCTTTTTATAGATAAAAAATGACTACACGTGAAGACATGGTAATTTCAAGTTAAAAAATGGCCGGAAACTCAGGTTGAAATCAATTTTTTTTGGAGGAGTATAAATTTATTATTTACAAAATAAAGGACTAAAAAATTTATTTAATAAAATATGAATGACATTTTAAATAATTTTTTCTTTAATTAAATATGAAAGATTATAAAGTAGACGCCTATAGAAATATTGAAGGATGCAACGTTACTGAATCAAGCGGCCTTGATGCAAGCTTATTTTTGCCAAAGATTTTAGTTGATCAAGTTTTTAATACTTTAAAAAACCAAAAACTAAAGTATACAGCTCCTCGTAAATTAAAGTTTTTACTTTAATCGTACTAATAAACAATGGCTTGAGATTTACCAAAATAAATACGATGTCCAGTAAAATAAATATTTCAATGAAAATTCTAATAACCATTTTCGGCCCCGTTTGAAAAGTGAGTTTTTGGGTCTTTGTTTAAAATTTTATTGTGACTTATTGTAGGAATTTTTTAAAAAAATTTTGAAATGTGTTTTTTTTTTAATATTTTGAAGTGCCTAGTTTAAAAACTTTGAAAATTTTTTTGAGATTATTGTAGTTAAAGTTTTTAAAATACTTATAGCTGATAAATTTGGCAAAAACTTGGCTTCCAAACAAGGCCAATCAAGCCTATGCTAAAATCACCGGTATATATATATATATATATATATATATATATATATATATATATATATATATATATATATATATATATATATATATATATATATTGGGTCAATTACATTACCTCCCCTGAGGTTTGATCATATTATCAATCAATCCCTATAATTTGTTCAAATAACGGTCTCACCTTCTGAATGATCAAACATTTAACAAAAATCCCTTAATGCCGAAAATGACCTTATTGAGGCCATGTTGCATTAAAAAAAGAACATATTTTTATTTTATTAACCCTGAAGCAATAAAAAAATAGAAAATTTTTTTTGCTTATTATTTTATAAAAATCATATCTTTGCTTCCATAAATAGTTTTGAATCAATAATTATTTTAAATCTTAAAAATGAATATTAAAAATTAGATAAATTGAAAGAAAAATAAAAAAAGAAGAAATTATTTTAATTCCTGGACTATGGTTCAAATTGAGGAAAGCATACCTTGTGCTCTCCGCAACATGCCTTGAATCACAAATTTGAACCATACTCCAGGAATTAAAATAATTTATTCTTTTTTTATTTTTCTTTCAATTTATCTAATTTTTAATATTCATTTTTAAGATTTAAAATAATTATTGATTCAAAACTATTTATGGAAGCAAATATATGATTTTTATAAAATAATAAGCAAAAATTTTTTTTCTATTTTTTTTATTGCTTCAAGGTTAATAAAATAAAAATATGTTCTTTTTTGAATGCAACATGGCCTCAATAAGGGCATTTTCGGTATTAAGGGGGTTTTTGTTAAATGTTTGATCATTCAAAGGGTGAGACCGTTATTTTGATAAATTACAGAAATTGATTGGTAATATGGTCAAACCTCAGGGGAGATAAATGTAATTAACCCATATATATTTGCAATAATTTGTGTTAGTTAAGTGCTTAGAGCAAGCCTAGATTCGGTTTTAATCACATTACGTGGAGTACAACAGGACAAGATTGCTTTTTCCTAAACAAACTTCCGGCCCCACCCTGGCCAGGTGTGCGTTGACAGCGTTGTCCAACGCTTACGACGACGTCGTCACCGGACCAGAGTTCTTTCTGTAAATCCATGAAGGAGATTTCTTCTTCAGCTCCTTGTAATCCACTTCTTCACCCAAATCCTCCAATTCCGTGGCCGATTGATACTTTGCAATGATTGATAGGATAGCAGTAACAAAGTAGAAGCTGAAGCTGCCCGACCCAACCCTCAAACCCATTGCGGGATATGTTGGACATGCAAATTGTCGGAACAGGGACGATGGATCCCACCAATTTTCGCAATCGGTCACCCATTCTTATTCCTTTGCTTTTCATAGCAACGATTTTACACAGACTCAGCTTCAACTCGGTGTTTGCTATATGCGAGTTCAGCTACAGGGACCATAACAGGCTCTACAACTATAGCTTAGCTTCCCCACTTCGTAAATTTCCCCACGGCGTCCTCAGCGAAGACGGGTATTTTCTTTAACACCTCACCACCTCTTTTTTTAACTCTCGTATATTAAATTCTTTCTTTTTGAGCTTTTTTAAATATTTTTTGTGAGTATAACTAATGTCCTTATTGGCATTGATAATGGGTCCATTTGCACTTTCTGTTTTACCGATTTCGCTGCTATTGTCTCTTTTTCTTTCTAAAAAAGATAATGAATGTTGCTTTTAGGAATTTTTTTTTTTGGTCCCGGGGGATTTTTTTGTTTTTGTTTTTGTGGTGGTGGGGTTGGGGGGAGGGGGAGAGAGGGCGTGGGGTTCATATAAGAAAAAAGACCACAAGCTTTATGCTGATGATGCCATCAAGTTGAGCTTGGGGAACTTTGTTCATTCAACTAATAATAAGGAAAGAAACTTTGGGGGGAAATGTCTAGTCCAACTGTGCCAAATCAGTCAAGCAATTCAAGTACATGTAATGCCGGAGCTAAGTATCCACTGACCTTGTCTTGGGCGGTTTTCACTTCCTAAAAGCAGTGTTAACCTGGGAATGTTTTTACTTAGTTAATGAGTAATAAATGTTTCTCAAATAAACTTAGATGGGGACTCTTCAATTGAAGTTTGAGTTTGATCTGTTTTGTTTCTAATACAAATTATTATTTTGATATATGGCTGATAGGTTTTACAAGGTGGCAGTTAATGAGACAGTGCTTTGGTTTCAGGTTGGCTCTATCAGGTTGCATTGTACTTCAGTATTTCCTTTTCACGTATTAGATTGAGCCTTTAATTGAAAGTACCGTAAAAGCATGACTGGCCTAACTTGCTAAGAACAGCAAGAGACTGCAATTTTTTTCTCTTTTTCATTCGTTTACTTTTGTGTTGTGTTGACATGTCTTTCTGTCGTTTTCAATTTTGCAGCTGTGTGATGTAATGCTTTTCAACCATGATCCTCCTACTTGTATTGACTGCATGGTGAGTTTTTCTGAAGTTGCACCTGCCCATCCTGTAAATGAGAGGATAAAATAATTGAAAGTCAGTAACTGTTTCATAGATTTACTCCTGTATCTTGTAGAATATCTGATGGATGCTTACATAAGATATATACTTGGCTGATGCTGTGAACCCATTAAAGTCATTGTGTTTATTTTGCTTTATGTCAGAAAATTATGGAGTCTTGTCTAACATTCAGCTGAACTTTGTCATAATTCTTATATTGTTCCTCCTCCACCTAGATGAAAATCTGAATGACATGATTGGTATCTACTATTGTAGGACTGTGGTGGTCCGTCACGCTGTGGCATGGGTTGTAGTGCGCTGGTCACAAATATCATTCAAGGTGAATAATGCATTTCACAGTAATCTTCATTGAAATATGTTTAATTTGGCCAGTTTACTTGATTTAGAGCCTTGTTAGCATCAGCTTTGGCACGCGTGTGGCTTTTGGGAGGGGGGCCCAGGGGGTGGGGATATTGCTGTTAAAGAGTATGATCCGTTGCCCTGTAAATAGTGAAACGATACAACTTGCAGCAAAATGAATTACAACCAAAGACTTACTATGCCATGGATCAACCAAATTTAGATATGGTTCTGTTTCCTTTTTTAATTGGGATTGTGTTCCCTTTTCTCTTGTTGTTGTTCTCCATCTGGTTATTTTCCATCTTTCTTGGTAAGCTCTGTTGCCTTTTTTGCTTTGGCCCCAAGAGAAAAGGTACGAGGACCTAAGGAAAAAGAAAGGAACAACAAAAGGAGAGGATTAATATACTGAAAGGATAGGGAGGCACTTGTTACATGAATCTCCATTCAGTAAAGAGTGCAAGCAGTGAAATACTAAAGAGATAGTTTGGAGCCATTTAAATGAAGTAATTCCATACTTGACAAGTAACATCTTGCATACAGGTTTGGTTTCGGGAGCCATTTGGTTAATCTACATAAAATATATATTCCTATTGTTAAATTTGTTACACAAGTTTATTTCAAAACCTTGCACTAAAAGGGTGCTAGATTGTTGCCTTTGGGATGGAATAGGTATCTTGATACCCTTCTTTGGGAGGAAATATATATTACTGGGTATGACTGAAACTGAGATGCTTGGATGGTCAGTCTCTGGCTTTCAGAAGAAAATGTAATCTTCTTTTGTCATGTTAGATTCCTATGTGTTCAGTTCATATTTCAGATCTTAAAAAGTGGCTTTCATTTCAATATATGCCCATTCTTGATTAGAATACAAT